GAAAAGTCAATGTAGGAAAAATTTATGTTTTTATTTTTCTTTATGCAACCAGAGATCACACTTCTGTTAGCTTTAGTTAGCATGTCACATCATGTAAAAGGATTAGGAACTGTGGGTGGATATGTGTATGCCTGTCTGTCTGGAAACAGGCAATAGTGACTATCTTGAGCCAGTCCTTTCTTGAATGATTCCTAGCTGGAAGAAGGCAGGGCAGTGGAAATTTTGATTTCTGACCTGCTTTACTTACTTAAGCACCTCTGGCTTGGAAACTCAATGGAGTCTTGTGAAGAAAATAAATTTATTAAATCAATTACTTCACAGATGAAAGAGCCTATCACTTGCTAATCACGGGGGGTGACTGGCTGTTTCCAGGCCTCTCTCGTATTCCTTTCAGCTGATGGCCCTGTGAACAATTAGCAGCGACGAATGTCCTAAGAGGGACTCTGTGGGCACTGCTGGGTTCTCTCAGGAGGAATTAGAAATAAGGTACTTGACAGAATTTTCTTGGGAAAAATAATTTAAAAACTATAAGAAAACACCTGTTTTACTTATAGACAAAACATACTTTAAAAGCCCTTAAACAGCATCAGCACATTCATTGGCTTTTAAATTTTTTAAATTTACTTTGCCTAATTTTGGAGCACTATATAACATATTAGAAACTGTTTTTATTCTGGAAATGCCTAAACACTTATCCCTTTCATTAACAATCATAAGCAAGTCAGGAACATTTTTGGACAGAAGATCTTCTGAGGAAAAGAAATTCCAAGCTGAGGAATTAAACCCCACTGAGTTTTTCCCAACAAAGAGAAGTTTCTTGATTTGTTCACTGGCTGTCCACCATAATAGGCTGAATCGAGCAGGACCTATAAACTCATTTGGTCCCAAATCAGGACAAAAATAAACAAGAAGATCTTGTGCTTTAATTGAAAACTGTGAATCAACACCCAGGTCTTGTCCCCGATTTGACTCATGTCTGGTGGGCTCTGTGTGAGACATGCCAAGCAGTATGGTGATTTTGTCACATCTCTTCCCTATTCCACCTAAATATTCACCATTACATCGGCCAGATGATCTCTTGGCAAGTTTCAAGTATCATTTATACTTCTTCAGGTCATTCAATCAATGAATACCTTGTGTTACAAGATCATGTACTTTGGCCTAAGTAATTATAGGCAAAGCGGCAGACCTACTTTTATAAAAAATAAAAAACAATCTAGGGGTTAGAGTGATGGCTCAGCACTCTTCCCTATTCCACCTAAATATTCACCATTACATCGGCCAGATGATCTCTCGGCAAGTTTCAAGTATCATGTACTTTGGCCTATGCTCATAGCTCCAGTTCCAAGTTCAGTTCCTAGCACCCACATAGTAGCTAACAACTGCTCATAGCTCCAGTTCCAGGGGATCCCAAGTCCTCTTCTGACTTCCACAGGCATTGCATGACATGGGTGTACTTGCATGCAGGCAATCTACTCATACAAATAGAATAAACATAATAAAAATCTAAACAAAGATAATCTGAAAATTGAATGTATTATCTGATTTAATACTCAAAATTATTCCATAAGATCATTATTTAATCACTGGTAAGCTTCTGCTGAGGAATGTGATTAATTCATCCAATATATCAGGCTAACTGTCATGTGACTTTAGAACCTGAGTTCTGAGTTAGCTGTATGCATTTGAAATCCAAATGGCCAGTGTAGCAAGCATGTAACTAATGTCCAAGGGGTTTTCTTCCAGGCTGACCAACATTCCCTGCTGAAGGCTCGAATGCTGCCTACACACCCAGGTGAGCGGTCACCTCTCAAATGGAATGCTTTGGGGTTCGAGCGGTGACTCAGGAAAGGAAATCGATGGGAGCTTCATAGAGTCCTCGGCTCTGCCACAGCAGGGTCCCTTCTGCAGCCTGTTCTCCTCCTTCAGCAAGAGAAGACAGAGGCCCGCGACACCATGTCAATTTTGAAGAGGAATGATAAGAACATTTATGGAATTTTAAGTACAGAGAACCCATGGGAAACCTTCATAGTGAAAACTGCCAATTAAAGGTAAATGGCAGGAAACGGCATTGCTCAACTTTAGAATTACAGAAACCCAGCACCCTTCAGACTAACGATACCATTTTCAGAAAGTTTAAAAACAACGACTTGTAAGAGGGAATTAGAATTTGTGGGTTGCACATCTGATTTTTTTGAGGTTGAAAATAAAATGACAAATTTTTGAGGTCACTGGTGGGAAATTCTGACTGCTTATAGTTCAGAGCCAGGCCCTGGTAGGACTCCTAATGCCATTTTACTCCCTCCTGAGGAGGAGGAGCAAAGACCAGGGAGTCTTTCCACCCAGGAGGAAACTCCCTCTGTTGTACTACTTGAAGCCTGCTGGGAAAACTCACCAAGTGAACCCCACACCCCGCAGCATCTGGAGCATCTGCTAACCCTCAATGTCCCTCCAGCATGGGTAGTCCCTAAAGGGAACATGGAGGACAGTGATTACGCTGCACATAGAAACATGCTGCGTGTCCAAAGGGCACCATTTCACCATGAGCTTCCCAGACTGATAGAGCCACCAGCATTGCCAGGATCGGGGGGGGGGTCCTCATCCTGCTACAATTTAGGTAGGAGCTTCAGGGTCACCTCCCAGGCTCCAACAGCCAAGGTCTACCAGGGCATGGAGGGCATTTGGCCTTAAGAGGACAACTCCTTACAGTTCCTTTAAAATGCAGTCTGGTCATATGGTTGTTGGTCTACGAGCTGCAGTGACCCAAAGATTAAGGTGACTGCACCCCAGGCATCTTTCCCCTTAGGAAGGCAGGTGTCCAACCAGCCCCTTTAAGTGGGGAGTACGCAAGTGGGGAAGGCAGCCGGATAATTTACCATGCCAGCAGGATGATTGTTCTATTTTCCACATGCCTTTGCTGTTCGTGGTAGAGAGGTCCTTCCTGTTCCTCAGTTCCACTTTCCATAGTTTCAGTCACCTATGATCATCTTCCATCCAGAAATATTAAATGGAAAATTCCAGAAGTGAGCAATTCTCAAGTTTTAAATAATATAGAACATTATATTATATTCAATTTACTATTGTGACTAATCTTTTATTATGGCTACTTTATAGATTAAATAATATTATAGCTTTGTTATAGTTATGTATATTTACAGAAAAATATATAGTATTTATAGGTCTGGAGACTGTCTGTAGGCTCAGCTATCTTGATGTGTCCTGGATGTGTGCCCTGTGCTTAAGAGGGACAACTGTTCAAAGCAAAAAGTCAAGTAGGCATGTACTGCAAGCGTGGACATTGTATTGTATCCTTAAGTCTACTTCTTAGGCGTTTACTCAATAAATATTTCCCTATCTGCCAACCTAGATGCTTTGCTTCCTCTTTGCTCTGAACTTTCTCTTCACCTACAGAATGTGGTTCTTTGTTCAGCACCTTACAGCTTCCGGCCTCTTCTGAATGCCATCAATGTTTAAGAGAAAACCAGCAGAGTTCGACGGATTCTTATAATCCTTACACCCAGATAGCTACTCCAGGAAGGGGACCTTGCAACTCAGATTTCTGGTGCTATGTGGATGGAGCCTGGGAAGGGAAGTAGGCATCCTTTGCCTCTGAAGAATGAGTTGTACACATGGCTCTGATGCATTCTGGTGACCTGACTGTTCTCTGCCTCTGCACCTCCAGCTACTGACTGAAGATGCTGACTCACTACCTGTATGAAACATGAAGGCTTTCCTGTTTCTTTCTTTGATCCCTGCTTCCCCAAGGTTTATATATGTTTCTATCCCTTTGAGCTGATTGTTTTTGTTTGGCCCTGTATGCTTTTTTTATCAAAATAAAAATTTATAATCTATAATATAAACGTATTCAATTTCAGATCCCAAAGAAGAAAGGACAATGGGTTCCTTTGATTTCCATTTCTTACCCTTACCACAGTAACTTGGATGAAAATAACTCAGGCAGTGTAAGTCTGGGGCAACGTCACATGCCTGGTTGATACTGTTTCCTGTGATATCCACAGGTCATGCTGGAGGACAGGCCTTTCCACCAAGGGAGAACAGATCCAGTGCCGGCTTTAGGCAGTATTTCAGGACCTCACTTATAACAACTGCCAAACAGTGTCTGACAACACTTTCTCTAACATCCTTTCCAGTTCCAAAATGTCATCATCTGTTCAACTTTTATAGGCATTCTACCATGTAGAAGATACTGCAGGAACTAATGAGGGAAAAGTTGGCAAAAGCCAAACAAGTACAAAAAGGGGTAAAATGTCACAACTGATAAATGGACAAAAGCTAAAATCAACAAACTTTCCTCCCTTTGTCTTTGGGCCACAATAACTATACATACATGTACACTTGTATATACACAATTCATGGATAAGCTCCCTAGCACAGTCAAAGGAACACAAGGGTACCTAGAGGTTAAGCCCACCAAGGTAGGTCTTAAGGAACAGGGAACATTTGATCACGGCCTCCTAGATTAAATCAGGTGGGGTGGTAGAGATGTCCAAGAACAGGAATGGCAAAATATTTAGTGAATTGATATCACATATCAGTTCACTACTGAGAAGGATAGTGAACTGATCATCACAGGCTTAGTCACCTGGCTCATGAAATAACACTTTGTAAGTGTTTATTATTTACAGGTATCCAGACAGAAAAGAGGAAAAGGGGAAGAAGGAAGAAAGCTAAGGAGTTTGATAAAATTGGCAACCTGAAGTGTGAGGTTCAAGGTCAAGGTTTGGAAATAATGACCACAAAAACTCAATTGAAGAATAATTACCAAACTTGAGAGCAAAATATCAGAAATTGCAAATTTACAGCAGATAAATACTGTTATTCATGTCATTGCTATTAAACTATAGCTGTTATTTTCTTAATATTTATTTTAAAAATTAATACTCTGATTATAAAAATAGTGCATTGTTTAAAGATTAATCCTAGAAAGCATGTCATACCTATCAATATTACTGAGTTAATATACAATTGTTGCAGCAAATTTTACCTATAATTTGAGATGTATGTTGATATTAAAATCAAAGCCAAATTCATTCAATCGTAGGTGGGCCAACTCAACATGGGATGTTTGAAAGATCTTATTCTGTAAAGCTAAGGGGTTGACCCAGGTAACATCAAAGACCCTGCTCCCTCCCAGTTCAAATTTGATTATAGGTTGCACATACATGTAACCAGTGGGAATTACTGACCAAGCACTCTTATTTCCCAACATACGACATGGATCAGATGGTTGTGGTAGGAAATTCTTGGGAATTCTTAGTGACTCATTCCTGGACTGATTAATTTCTGTCATTCACAGGGAATTCATCTACAAAGACACACTGACAAGAATGTGGCTTAGCCTTCAAGTTTGTTGCTTTTACACATATGTGCCCAACAGTAAATGCAAACTCAACAGCTCTATTCTGAACTGTGAAAATCCTTCTTTCACAATACTAGGGAGAGGGGCTCTGGAAAGACCCACCAGCAGTCTAATGACAATAAACTACTTTCTTTGCAGCAAAAGACTGTGGGACTTGTACTTTCTGCTGTCTCTGTGCTCAGCTGTCCATCTGGACACAGTTGCTGAGGTCTCCTCCTCTGTCTGCCCTCCAGATTCATATTCTTCATCTACAGCATAGAACAGTGGCTTGGGCCAAATGGCAGGCCTCCCACCCCAGCCAGCACGTTCTTCCCAGCTGGTGTTGGTTTGATAACTGAGATTGTATGCCTTCTCTCCTCTATGGAGGCGCTTCATCGGGATCATTTCCTGTGTCAGTCGTCTTTCCTGAAGCGACCCTGCACGGGTGTGTGCACTGAACATCAAGGGTTGGAATCCTGGATCGCTGTCATCATCATCTAGGAAAACATCATGACAAGAAGGGAAAGAACAAGGCTTGAAATCAAAGCTACAACCTCATGCGCTGAAGGTAAGGCCCCAGAAAGAAGCGAGACCCTTCCAGAGCTGAGGCTCTGGCATTCAATATTTTTGTCAGTGTGATTTTTGCTTTCAAGGTCATGACTTCAGAGGACTGGGAGGACAGAGCTATACGTGCAATGTTATAAGTATTTGGGAGTGCATGGAAACCTGTGTGCTCTATCCCAGCTACCCCCTGCCTAGTTAGAGAGTATCTTTTTATAAGGTCTGATTAAATGGCCAAGGACATAAATAATAAGCTACAGAAAAGCCTTGTCTTCTTAAAAGATTGATGCTGAAGTAAAGGCTTCATATGAGTGGCTTCTTTTATCTTGTTTTTATTTTTGTTTTGTTGAGAGAAAGTCTCATTCTGTAGCCCAGAGTTACCTTGAGCTTGCAGTCATCCACCTGCCTTAGCCTCCCAAGTTTTAGGGTTAGAGGTATGAGCTACCATGCCTGGTCTTAGATTGATCTTGAACTGGTAGTTGTCTGAAAGCTTAGGTCTCATTGTTTTTTTAAAATATTCTATTTATTATTTTTATTTTATGTGTAGGAGTGTAGTGCCTGTATGATATAAGTGCACCTGTGTTGTGCAGTGCCCACAGATACCAGAAGAAGGCATCAGATTCCTATGGAACTGGAGTTACGGATGGTTGTTAGCTGCCATGTGGGTATTGGGAATTGAACCCAGGTCCTCTGCCAAAGCAGCCAGTGCTTTTAACTGCTGAGCCATCTCTCCAGCTCCCAGGTTTCAGTGCTTTGACCTTGAAAAAGTAATCTTGGAGAAACAGGTATAAGGGACAAGGAACCACAGAGAATTACAGACTGACAGACGCTCTGTTTCTGGGGACAAGGTGATGAGCATATTGAAATGATGACATGAGGAGCCTGGGAGTATGCACTCATGGGAGACTGACTATATGCCTGCCTCTGTGCTCATCAGTTTGCCTTTTTATGCCACTGAATCATCTGAATGGCCTTGTGGGGCAAGGAAATCTTGCTACTGATTTCACATAGGAAGTGCTTGAACTGTGACTTTCAGTATCATACAGGATTGGAATCGTCCCTCATCCACACATGCTCAAGTCTCTCATAAAGAATGCCATTAACTAAAATATTTTTAAAAGTTTGTTTTACATGGCTGGAGAGGTCATACATGCTAGAGAAGAACCTAATTCTGTCACTTCCCTAGACTACAGTAATTTCTTACTGTATTTTCAATATTTAATCTTTATATTTACAGACGTGTACTTCTCACATTCAAGAAGCGTCTTTATTCAATAGACAGAGATTATTACAAATTTCTACAACTGGTCAACTGCAGAGAATAAGTGACTATGAGATGTCCAGCCCTAAGTGATACGTGAACACTGCTGCCTCTACACCTAAGGCTCAGGGAACATTGCAGGGGAGGGGGCAGAAAAAGGTAAGAGCCACAAAGAAAGAAACCTGCTGTGAGTTAATGCCTTCTAGACATGATAAGGAAGATGCACCAGTGAAATCTCCACAGTGTGGTGGTCTAACAATTGATAGAATACCTAATGACAAAACCAGTGGATGTGCCAAGGTGGATGGGGGAAATTTCACAGGGTCCACCTCAAGACAAAGAGCTACAGGCAATCAATGAATAACGAGGGAGGGAGAATCAGGGACGAGCTCCCTGACAGGTTATCCAATCCCAACTGGGCATAAATACAGGTACACATGAGCGCCACTAAATGAGCTCAATGTATTATATGTAAATATGTATATTTATAAATATATGTAAAAATAATAGTCAAAGAAGAGAGGAGGGAGGGGGCATGGAGGAGTTGGAGGGGGACTGAGAGAAATGGAAATAATGCAAATGCAATATTCTTGTATGAAATGAAATTCTCAAAAAAAAATAAAGTTGTGTAAAAGGTCTGTTTAACTTCCTTTCTTGGGCTCTTCAGTGATTGACTTTGATTTAACATGAATCATGTTTACATCAGAGAAAAATCTCACCTCAAAGAATAATTATATTTCTTAAAAAATTCTAAAATCCTATATATGTTTAGTTTATTTCAATTCTCATATGATTTTTAAGCTTTAAAAGATTAATAAAGTCAAATTGGTAGCATGGCATATGATTATATATTATATGTTAACTTTTGCTAATAAAAATATTTTTTAATTTATTATTTTTATTTTATGTGTATGAGTATGGAAGTGTACCCATGTCATGCAGTACCCACAGAGGTCAGAATAAAGTGTTGGATCTCTTGGAACTGGAGTTACAGACAGTTGTGAGCTGCCATGTGGGTGCTAGGAATCAAATTCGGGTCCTCTGCAAGAGCAGCTAGTGTTCTTAACTGCTGAGCCATCTCTCCAGACCCCAAATCTTTTAGGTGAACATAGACAACCTTACATATTGAATAGTCTCAAAATTGGAATTTTGAAATATCCTGAGACCAGTGCTTATTCATCAGATGTCACCTTTGCCCCAGTGAAATCTATTGGAAATCATAAGCTTTGAATAGGATGAAATGGAATCACCCAAAGCAGGGCAAGTATCAGATGAGCTTTCTAATTTCCATCATTCAAAGTTAGATGGTAGCTGAGAGGGAGAGAGAGAGAGAGAGAGAGAGAGAGAGAGAGAGAGAGAGAGAGAGAGAGTTGTTGAGGTGATTGGTTTTTATTATAATAATGAACAGTTGCAGTAATTTTAAGAATTCCACTTTTGTATCAGATTGGAAACTTTTAAAGAGCAAATTTGATAAAATTATTTCAGCTAAAACTAATCTCAAATTTAAACTGTGTGGGAATCTTACAAGTCCACTGACATGTATTTTAATGTATCTTTAAGGCATAGGTCAAGAGACTATGACTCTGTGAGATTATATGAGCTATAAATCCTTTTTACATTTTACATGGCTGGAAATTTTTAAAAGAATATAGTTCATGACAGAACGTATAAAAACCAAATATCTGTATCCATAAATAAAATTCTATAATTCATCCTTAAAGGATGTTGTTGTTTCCTTTTTTTTCTTGTCTACACAATAGTCTTGATTTTACCTCTTGGCCCTCAAACCTCCAAATATCCACCAGATGACCCTGAACAAGAAGAAACAGAGTAGCAAGCATTGGTTACCTGTGCACTCAGCAGCATTTGCCTCTCTCTTCGCTGGCTGAGGGTTTTTGTAGGGGAAGGAGAGGTAGCGAACGTTCTTGGTGCCAGCCTGTGGGTATCAAGTAGAATGCAAGGAGAATGAGTGAAGGTTGCAGCCCGGTCCTGTGGCACAGTGGTGGGGTCCCTGTAGCCTTTGATTGTTTAAAGAAAGCAAAACACTTCAGACTTTAGTACACATGTCCCTTCTCTTTCATGGGAAACTGGACCCTTGTGAGCCTTCTAAAGCCTCTCTCCCCCCAGTCCCACTCAGGATCAATGTTACGGTATGTTCTAGAGCCAGTCTTCGTGCAGGATACCCTGTAAGATTAGCATGATACAGCCTCATTGAGGAAATAGTTAGTGGTGACATGGAGAGTTGGTTCAAGAGCCCGGACAAAAGCAAATCCATCCAGACAACATTCTGAGAGACCCAGGCTGGGCTTTGGTGTAAAGAGGAGCCCTGAAACATTCAGCACCTGGCCACCATGGGACCTGGGCTTGGGCTCTCAGCCCAGGGACCATGGTCACTCACTGACCTACTTTGGAGGGGAACAGCTTTCTGCCCTGAGAACCTGGATCCAGACGGGGAGGCTGCTTTAGTATCCTGCCCTCTCTGGTCCTTGCACCTCTGTGGTAGCAGGTGGGGTTTGTTTAAGTATTAATAGTGGCTTAGCCTTGTCTGATGAGACCCTGCCCAAGGATAGGCCCAGTTATTAAGTGACAGCCCCCACGCACCGACTTTCCCCAAGGCAGACTGTGGCCTTTCCGCATGCTCTCCCTCAAGGTGTTCTGGCGGCGGATCAGAATCTCTTTGGCCTGCTTCTCGCTTGTTTGAGGTTTGAGGTTGTATTTGTTGTAGGACAAGGTCTGCAGACAGAATAGATTGTTAAGTAAGAATGATTCCAGTGTCACCTGTGCCTTCTGTAATCCCTGAAGCTGGCTGTCCTGCCACCCTAAGGCATCCACTCTGGCTTCCCTGGTACACACTCTTTCCTAGGCCATGTTTTCTACAGGCCAGCAGTTCCTAGGCATTTGGGTTGAGTGGATAAGAAAAAATATCAAAACTTGGAATTTCTACAGGGTTTCTGATTTTCAGGTTTTTCAAATTAACAAGACCACCCCCCAACACACACACACTCTCAACCCATTTCTACCACTATTATCATCAGAAAGGAAGAGGTTTTCAAATAAAGATGCTAGCAAAATAAAGGACAAATGAAGGAAAGAACTGCTTGAGAGACAGTCACCAGAGCTTTATGCTACATTTCTTTCTATTTTTACCCCAAACCAATGAAAATGTGTCATGGACCACAGGCCAACATCTATTCTTAAACAGGTATCTGCAAGATACTTAGCTTGACCTTCGTATCCCTACTATTGCTCACTCAAGTTTCATCAGTAAATGTCGGATTTCCTGGAGCCAGTAGGTGATGCACTGTGTACACTGATAACCCTAAAGTTTCTGTTGGATAAATGAATCAGGACTGATGGTGTCATCGAAACATGATAGATGCTTTAAAGAGAATAATCACGTCAACAGCAAAAGACTGAACATTCTGTCAGGTGCTGTAGCAAGCGCAGGACTGGAAATTAGTAACTGCACGTTCTGGTTTTCCAAAGGCTTACAGTCTTCTGAGGAGTTAGGCAAATAAGGACTTAAGCTATGTGTTCAGGTGAGATGAAATGCTGGACTCATCTGGAGATTATGAAGTAGGGCACTTACTCAGACTTGGATGGGCCAGCCTTCCTGCACTGAGGTGAGTGTGGAGAGATAAGTGGGTATTACCCTGGGATGACTGCAGATGGAAAGAACACAAGAGCTAAGGCACAAACTGCTAACCAACTGAAAGGGAAGGTAAGAGAGGACCCTGGGGAGGTCCAGCACCCATTTTGTTATCATGCATTCAACATAGCTTTCAAAGAGATTAGGAGGAGGTGACGACAAGCCACAGATAACCTGCCAGGAATGAAGACCCCTGCCAGGTGTCCCTCAGGTGGGGAACATATACTCCCAACAAGATGATCCCTAGGGCTGAGAAAAGAAAATATTAATATATCCCATTTCTACTGATTTTTATCAAATAATACAAAAGATATTAGGATTTATTACTGTATCTATCATCTATCTATCTATCTATCTATCTATCTATCTATCTATCTATCATCATTCACCTATCTACCTAACTTTGTATATATGCTTGTAATGGACCCTCATCTAGCCCAGAGGACAGAAGGCCAGGCTTCCTGTCTGACTAAAGAGGATGTTCCTAAGAGGGAGCAGTGATAACCATGACTTTATGGATTTCACTGAGTTTCAGTTTATTTTTTTACTGAACATTCATCCAGTTCACTGATTTGTGGTTTTGTTATCCATTAACTAAATCAATCATAAAATACAGAATTACCTAAAAGTATTTCTGCAGGTGGATGGAAAAATGAGAAGGGGAAGCTCTACTCTTGCTAAGGCTCTTTCTCCACCACTTTTGGCCATTGATTGCTCTGACAGCAATCCAACCAAAAAATTGAATTGTGAAAACAGTATGACGTATGTTTCCTGTCCATCTTCTTTAAAGGAAAAACCTTAACATAACTATGATTTATATATTGAAATATTAGTGACAATATCACAGTGTCACAAAAATGAGTGAGAATTAAAATATGTACATAAACAACAACAATTTTCCATCACTGTTAGAGTCAAGCAGATCCGAATTCAGCCTGTGTGTACATAAGAATGTGTGTATACATCTGCAGGTATATACATGTATGTGTCATACATATGATAGCTCCTACACACAGGCTTGGGAGAAGGCTGCACTTTAAGTATGTTTGGATATTTGGTCTTCTTCATAAACGACCTCCTTGTCCATTTGGCCTTTCTGCAAGGAACAGAGGCATTCTGTGCATACAGTGTATTATTCTGATTTCTTCCCTCTTTTCCTTCCTTTTTCTACCCTCTTGAAAAGGTGTTGGTGACTGGTTAAAGACTGGGTTTCTTTCCTATTAAATCTTGAGTTCTATGTGAAAAAGAATACCGTGTTACTCTTTGCAGTGTTGCTAATGTCTTGCACACTCATGATGTGTGTTAACTATTTGCTGCAAAAAGTGGACATTAGATAAACTGTTTTCCCTTTGAAAGTATGTAGAAATTTTTAAAAGTATTTTTATTTTATTTCAATTTTATTTTATGTGTATGAGTGTATTACCTGCACATATGTAAGTACACCTATATCATGCAATGCCCACAAAAGTCAGAAGAGAGTGTCAGGTCCCATGGAACTGGAGTTATGGATGGTTGTTAGCTGCCATGTGGATGCTGGGAATCGAACTTAGGTCCTCTGCAAGAGCAGCCATGCTCTTAACTACTGAGCCATCTCTCTGGTCCCAAAAGTATGTAGAAATTTTCAGAGTACTTTGATCATTTTAGCTATCCCCAGGAACTGTTTATCAATTTTTGACCTCTGCTTATGGTGGCCTGGGCTGAGGGTGGTTTCTTCTTTGATAAGTTTGAGGAATGCTTCTCTGTTTCTGTCCCATGGTGCTCCAGAGAGATTCTTCCTTGGCTGTGACACTGGAAATCTCCAGAGGTTAGTCCTTCAACCTGCAGTTCTATCTTGGACTTGTTGAAAAGAAAGATTTCAAAAAGAAGTGTCCAGAGACCCAGCAGGGCCAGCTCAGTTTCATCTCAAATATGTCTTAGGATTGCCCAGAGTCAGATCCTACACTCTACCTGGCCTTACCCAGAAATGATGGCTAACTTCCAAGACAGACTCTACCAAGACTCACAGAGATAAATGCCTCCACCCATCAGCCCTACACCTACTGTCCTGACTTGAGGACCACAGATGACGTCTACACCACCTTTGCATCAATTCTTCAAGCTGTAGACTGTCTACTATAAAGCAGTAGATGCTCAGTTGTTCCAGGGAGCATTTGCAGGATAAATTTTCCCTCGATAGAGCAAGAGAAGACTTCCATGATCCTAGTAGTGCTAAATAGGTTTAGAGGAAAGATAGGCAGGGGATTGGTGTGCTTTGCTCTCAAAGTGCTGTAAGTGGAGGCAATACGGGCACCTCACAGCCTATATGGCACTCGGTTCACGCTCATTAATCCTGTTCTCCTAATTTGACTCCTTGCAATGTTTAGCAATGTTGTAATGAAGAGAGGACAGCATGCTCAAATTGGGGGGGGGCAAGAGGAAGGGGTGCTGCATTGCTTAGAAGGAAGAACTGTGAAGGCTAGATGAAAGAAAGTGGCTATCCGGGACTCTGCATCTAGGGAATAAAAGAGAATGTGGGCAATGAACCATTTCAGACTGGACTGGAGTTTCAGGACCTCCACCCCCATTTCTGAATCATTACAGATATTAAGTACCAGGTACCATGTAAAACCTGGCTCTCACTAAGCTGGCCACATTCTTCACACCAGGAAGCTCTTATCTACTTACTGGAGGTGAGATGTGATAGCCTTACTGAAACAGTTTCACTTGGAATGATTTAAAAGACATGGAATTTACCTTGACCTATATTCCTTCAGCTTTTCCCTGGTACAGGCCTCTTAACCACAGCCTTCCCAAAACAGAATGCCAGATGAACACTGACTTTCACTGGGCTATATAAGTCTAGAGTCCTAGAAAGCACTGGGTAGATGTTCAATATAGACAAGAGATCTGTACTTAGATTTATTTCTTGACCTTGAGTAAGTCTGATCACCAAGTTTCCTTACCCAAGCATCATCATCTTCTTCTAAAATGAATAACTTTGATTAGATGGTTCCTAAACTTGATCTATAACATAACCCCAAACAGAAATTCTCACAGTGAACATACAGTCATAACCAAGAAGTAGGATGGATAAATGAGTCATCAAATCTGAAAAAACTCCTAGATGGATGGCATTCATTTGTCATTAACTCAAAGTCTGTGCAGAACTCGTTGCTAAGGACTAGTACAGATTCCGTAACCATTTCCAGAACAAAAAATTAGATGTCAATATTTCTCTTTTCAGTCTGACTTTCAGCATTATAGTTTCTTAATTCTAACTTGAATAAGTTCTGTTTTCTAACTTCTATTCCAGTCAAACTTAACAACTGGATAGTCAGCAGTATCCGGTGCCATCTTTTCCCTGTGCTACAGGAACATGACTATGTCTGTCTTGTCTTTAAGGACAGGAAGACTTCTGGGTTCTGAAAAATTCCTGGCTGCAGAACTGGGGCAGCCTGACCCCTAGAGCCAGCAACTGGACTTGCATTTCTTCTTATACCCCAACTGCCAACTTTGCAGCAGAAAAGTAACAATTAGCTTTCTGTTATCCAAAAACAGCAGAGAGAGAGGCTGCCTCAGAGAAAACTGAACTGGAGCGGGTTCCTGAAGTGCTGTTCCAGGACTGGCAACAGGGGCAGGGCAGAGGGCTCATACATACTCTTTGTCGAACTTGGTACATGTTGCGTGTCAGGATGTCCCGCATGGACTCCACATCCTCAGGAGAAAGGCGTTTGATTCCCTGTACGCTCTTAGCCCTGGAAACAGCATTGGAGGAAAGCCATTACTCTTCCATTTTGACAAGAGGTACCACAAAAATACCAGTGTGTTTTACCTCCTGTCCTGGTGGGATTCTTAAGTCCCAGAACCCTATTTTACATAATCATTCCTGACATTTTATTAAACTGATTTGAGTCAGAACATGTGTCTTTACTGAAAGTTTCAAAAATACTATTCCCTTATAGTTTTATATGTAACTATTTTAATTCATTCAGGAAATTTTTACTCTAATTTATAAAATGCAATAAAAATTCATTATTAGGAAATTATTTTACTGTTAAATTTAACAGAAATAAAACTACTCAGTCAGAAAAAGATGATTCTTTATTAGTTTTATGTTTAGTGGCATTGTGGACGGATGACAGTTTGCATATCAATACCATCCGGATCCCCACACTTTGAGCGTCACTGAGTAAGGAGCTTTGAAGTTGACTGAGTAAAGTGGAAATGGAATTGTGCCTCTAGGAAACTGTAATGATGAGTTCTCCATGTCACCTTGACACAACCTAGAGACACCTGGGAAGAGAGTTTCTATGAGGGATGGAATGGTCTAGATCAGGTTGGCCTATGAGTACATTTGTGGAGGATTGTCTTCATGGCTTTAATTGAAATAGAAAGACCCAGCCTGAATGTGGGAAGCATTATTCCTGAGTTTGGGTCCTAGACTGTTTAAGAGTAGAGAGAAAGCCCACTGAGCATAAGCATGCATGTTTCCACTGCTCTCTCTGCTCTTGACCATGGATGTGACCAGCTGCTTCAGGTTCCTGCTTCTTTGACACCCCTAATGATGAACTGTACCCTGGAACTCTAAGCTGAAATTAAACAGTTTCTCCCCTAAATTGCTTTTTGTCAGGGTCTTTGTTTTAATCACAGAAACAGAAATAAAACTAGGACAGTGTCTTATTTTTGGTTAAGAAATGTTTCAAGAAATAGGAATCACAGTGTGGTTAAACCATGAAGGTCAAGCCATGTGAGGCACTGTGAATCAAACAAGTTTAAAACTTCGTGTCAAGCTCAGGTTAACAGTCAATGCCCAATGGTCCTCTGGGATTTCAAAGCTAGGACATTGCTCTGAAAAGAATTCGCATATGACAAACATATTTGATTACAATCTAGTGGCAATAATTTTTAAAATTTCACTGGAAGTATATATATTCACTGTAGAGCTTAGGAAGCAAGGGAAAGAACTAAAGGAAATCAGCCTTCCTTTCAACAGAGCTGCCTTTCTTAACATCCTGTTAAACCCAGGGGGCTTTTGGGTTGCTTGTCTCAACTTGTTTCTTCTAGGTGAAGCTATTTTGAATGCATAAAGGCACAAATGACTTCAACATCTCTGTCCCATATTCTCAGGACAACTGATCACTGAAATCAGTCGTTAGTTTTAATATATGCCACCTTTTAAGTGCCTTTCCCCCCAAATATCACTAGCAATATAGTCACTAAATAGTAAAGCCAGTTTGAACATAATGTGCAATTGATAAAAATATTTTAAAGGGCTTATATACTGGATATCGCAGTATGCCAGGATTTTATTTGCAATGCTATCTGTAGAATGACTACTGCCCTTTCTACAAAATTATTGAAATCAGAGCTTCATTATCTTAGACCTGCAAATGCCACCCACACAATATTTAGTCACTGCCCAAATGTTTGGTCATGATCCAAACATCATTATCAGGGCATTTAAACCTAACTGTGTAAATGCCCTCCAAATAAAATTTATTCTGACTTAGGTACATCCGCTCACACAATCTGAACACATTCCTTCATCATGGGGTGTGTACAGTGTATTACTAAACAGAAATACCAGCTAGTCAAACAGTTCTATTTTCTGATTCATAAAAAACAAATAGGAAAAACCACTGATAAAGGAAATGGCAAAGTGAAACTTGATATAGCAGTAGATCTAGCTTGGCACTCTCCCCAGTTTGTAATTGACCACATTGAGAAGGACCAGACTTAATTACAGTCCACTTGGTTTAGAATGAGCAACACAGGTATCTCAAAGGCTGAGACTCTCCTTGACCCACTCCAAGAAATGGCAGTTAAGAGTTATTCAAAGGCATGACTGACTTGAACCAGGTGATGCCTAAAGTTTTCCATCGTCCCTGAAATGCTCACATCACAGGGGCAGTAAAGACAGAATCCTTAGAAAACAACATTGCTAATGTGTCTAGGACCAAAGATTCATATGGTAAACTGCACAACTCTTCTCCTAGGAATATTCATGTATTATTCATAAAGGAAATCTCTATCACTAAAATAATCTGAATTCAAATTCATCTGAATATGATTCATATTTTCCATTATTTATTTATTTGTTTATTTATTTATTTTCTTCATTCCTTTCATGAGATATACCAATATAAAAAGAGGCTTTAATTCAATTATGATAACTAATAGATGTTATATTCTCGCCATAGTAAAAATACCTAAAGATCATCTACTATGCCTTAATTATTCTAGAATACACCCTTCAATAGCCTATTCCTGGAGTCCATGGTCAGAGCATGGTCACCATGCATGCAGTGTTCCTCACCAGCGTCTATGTCTACATAGTTGCTTTACACCTTTCCACAGAGGCCCCTGAGATTCCACCTTTATGATGAGTGAAGGGTCGCTGTGAAGAGAGGGCACAGCATCCTGTTATGGAAATGAAACTACATCCCAGGGTTTCCATGTAAGAATACAGAAATATGAACTTAAACCCTTTGATGTGTGAATAATTTTTAAAAATTCTTAAACCACAGTGAAGTCGCTTACTTCTTTTTTAAATGGCATCTTCAAAAAATTATGTAATAATCTGATGTATAGTCACAGTTTGACATCCAACAAATTTATAGGTATTTTATACTTCTATTATATATAATATACATTATATGAGAGAGAGGAGAGAGAGAGAGAGAGAGAGAGAGAGAGAGAGAGAGAGAGAGGTCTCAGACTGGTCTTGAATTTCTGACCTCCTGCCTCCATTTTGCAAGTGCTGGGATTACAGGTTTTCCACCACACTCAGTTTATACAGTTCTGGGAATCAAATCCACAGTCTCATGTTAAGTAGCTACTCTATCAACTGATCTAATCTCCAGCTGTAATCAATTAAAAATTTATTACATTAATTAATTTGTGTGTGTACTGGTGTGCGTGTGCTACAATGTGTGTGTAGAAGTTAGAACACAATTTGCAGAGGATGAGTCTCTCCTCTCACCATGTGAGTCCAGAGGATGAAATCCAGCTTGTCAGGCTTGGCAGCCAGCACCTGTACCTGCTGAGCCATCTCACCAGCTCATGAAACATTTTTTGAAGCTTCAGGACTTCTAATCATTTTTCACCTCTCTTTTTTAATCTCTAACAACTTACCACTCCTAAATGAGATGAGTAGCTCTATGTTTGCAACAACAATGGATATATTCCATCTATTCCGTAAGATGGAGGTTCACATAGGTAATATTATAAAATATTGCCCCAATGTGAAAGGAAAGGAATTCCACAATCAACATCCTCTGAGTTACCTGGTGGTATCCTTTTTCTGAAGGCCATAGAATTTGGAAATATAAGCTTCTACAGGATAATTGCCTAAACTTATAAAGAAAAACTGCATTATAGTTTGTTGCCATCATTCCATACAGAATGGGAAGAAGCAAGCTGAATACGCACTTTTCTTCCTATTATTGTATGAAGGTTTTTTTTAGAAATCAGCTACTTTGATGTCAAGAGGAAAATTCCTTTTTGCTTGATGCCTTATATATTTCTAGTGAGATCAAATAAAAGTTTAAGTACTAAGGTTGCATTAAACATCAACTTAAAAAAGTCTGTCTCATGCCAGTTAACTAACTAGATTGGGCTATAGGAGGGGTTGGGGTGGTGAGAGTAAGACTCTCACCTGGGAGAGTCTTACTAATCTTCAATCAGTGTCTGAAGAAATAATTGATTCAAAATAAGAAGGGGAGCGCGTCAAATAAAATCAGTTTAAATATTGCCTTGCGGTCAGAAATTGAAGCAGTCATTTAGGGCTAATACACTATAATGTCACAGAAAGATTCTGACTATGTTTCAGTCCAACAGACTAAAACGTAGACTAGATTCTCCCTTGAGATAAGCAGCCTACATTCCTAGACAAAGCACTCACATAACTAGCTAACAAACGGATGGAGGAAGTTTCTAGTGGTCTGTCTGCCAGGAGCTGTCCAGCCCTGCTTTGCTTCTGCTTTAATTCCTTGGGTGAGCAGGCCGCATGCTGGGGGATCACCAGAGATTCACTGCTTACGTACTTGCATGATTTCGTTTTCTTCATGATAGCATACTCTGACAGTGTGTGGGTCTATAAGGGCAGGAATTATGTCTGTCTTCACAGTGTGTGGCACATAGTAGGTGTCTATTGAGCAGGCCTGGAGCTTAGAGGCAAAGTTAAGGGGGAGCCAGAAATCTTAGGCATTACATAAGGTAGAAACGCCATATTTTAGAAAAGACAGGAAGAGAGAATAACATGTTTACTGAAAACAGGATCAGCATTCCTGAATTTCCCAGTTGCTTCTAGTTCAATTATGACTCTGCATGACATTGCTGATAAATACTTGTTAGCACGTTCCCAGACGTCTCTTTAAAGCTGTATAAAGGGCAGCACAAAACAAACGAACAAGTCACCAAAAGCGATCTCACCAAGAAATCAAGCAGAGAGAACTTTCTATTTATATTGGGATGCCCTCAAGTACACTAGTTTAGATTTTTCCGGGCTGTGTAAGAAAGCAATGGTGTTTCTGATTCATTAGCGGGTGAAGGTGTTATCTTGGAAATAACACTCAGGCAGTTTGTGACAATTCTATTGGTACCTATTCTTAGCTCTGCTCTCAACTCACTTTTCTGATGTGAGGACATAACTGAAGCTCATGATCAAGTGTCATTAGCTGAAGAATATGACAGGATGGAGGTGGCTGGTGTTCCTTTCCCCAAATATATGTTATGATTAATTTTCCTGATTCATAAGCTGTTCCTTAGAAGAAAACTGGGAATCTTTGGGAGGTGAGTTAATTCTTGAAATATTGAAGGAACTTTTGGAAAATGTCAGAGAGTTAAAGCAGCTTCAAAAAATATCTATCCAGCTTTTGGGACAATTGGTTAGCAGATGGTACAAAACACACACCAGACATGGCTTCTTTCCCATGCCTTGCCTCCACATCAGTTTCCTACAATCTTCTTTTCACTGATTCTTTTTCAAGTTGATTTCACATAGCCTCAAGACAAATCTCATACAGACTCATCCTCCTTCATCTTTAAGGAACCTATCAGCTCCCACACCTCTTACTCCCAACTCATCCCCTGGCATGGTGAGTGCTTTCCAAAGGTCTGTGTAAAGGCCTGGTCTCCAGGCTCAGAGTACTGGGAAGTTCATAAAGACTTTTAAGTGATGTGCTCTGGTGAGAGGTCTTTAGGTCATTGAGAGCGAGACCTTAAAGAGGTTACAGGGCCTCAGTTTCATCCTTCCTCGCTCTCCTTTCTGCCTGATGATGAGAGTCCTTGCTCCAGTACCTGCTCCTTCTTTGCTGCAGTTGCCAAAGACCCAAAGCCTTGAGGGACCTAATCTTAGACTTGAACCTCCAGAACGCTGAGCCAAAATTAACCTCTCTTCACTTCAAAAGTAACCTGTGTCCTGTATTTCATTACCATAATACAAACTGATTGACACATCCCCAATCTGAGTTAGTATCTCAGAAAGCTAATACTTGTCCCCAGGGAAGAGAGGAAAAGAAATAAAATGTGTGAAAGAATGCAGTGATTAAAGAAAAACAGGATCAAATGAACAGGACCAAAAGAACAGAGATTTCTGATCAGGAGGAAAAGGTGAAAATCTAAAATAGTCTCCATTGTATGAATTTACTTGCTCCTCCCTTACAAAGAAGATGATGTTATATAACTGAAAGGAGGCAACTGTGTTAGAAAGTACTTTCCACAAAGCACTTAAATATGTCGAGCCTGAACCAAAGCACGAAATGCCAAGATTTAGGAAATATCATTTCTGTAGTTCCTTCCTCATAGCTATGGTTTGTGTGCATCCCCCAAAGGCCCATGTATTGATGGTTTGGCTCCCAGCCCACAGCAACATTGTGGGGTAAGGGAAGCTTTATAACACGCTATCTAGTGGAAGGCCTTCAGGCCTTCAGGTCATTAGGGGCCCACTGTTAAGTAGGACATTGGGACTCCAGCCCCATCTTCTTCCTCCTTGAGGTGCTTGGTTTTGCTGTGCACTGCCACCAAAGCCTCACCACAGACCCAAAGCACCTTGGCCAACCAGCCACGGACTGAAACTTCCAGTACTAAGAGCCAAAATAAATGATATTTGTTGTTGTTGTTGCTGTTGTTGTTGTTGTTTTCCCCTTTTTAAGTTGATTGTTACAGTCACAGAAAGCTAATGAACACACTGACTTTTCAGTCTGTTGACTTCCGGTATTACCTTCCAATGGAGCCATGAGTTAACAGCCCTAAAACTTTGGCATTGAAAGTCTAGATGAAAAAGCACATAGGCCCTTCCTTCAAAAAGAGGGCTGGGGAAAAAGGCTGCTTTTGCAATAGAACAGCATTCATTTGAGACAGACCTAAGAAAAATTTTTTAAATCCTTTGCCTGGGTTATATCCACTTGACTTGTGATATTAGATCTCTTTGTTCTCTGACTTGAATTAGCTCTTGTCAATAGTTATAAAGGCTGATGTAAGGTTTATTCAAGAATGTTTGGGTTTTTGCTCAACCTTGAGCTATGTAATTAAAGGTATCAGACTAGTGTTGCTAACTTTTTGGATGTTTAATAACCATATTTGAAGTCCTATATTATTAATCTGATCAGAGGGACTTAGAAGAGTTTTTTGCTCCTTGCCCTCCAAGGTCAATTAAGTTCCAGGGGCCTATGGGGCATCTCAAAATGTCCTGTAACTGTGATGAGTCATCTGTCCTGTTCAGGGAGGCCATGGAGACCACATTAGATGGGTTCTAACCAGTGTCCAGTCTACAAAAAGGAATGTCAACACACAGAAAGAGTTCATGGTCAACCAAGACCCCTGACTTATCCTCAGACAGACAGAACTGGTAAAAGAAAGGTTAAAGGAGCCAGAGGCTTCTCTAAATCCCAAGTGACTCCTGAGGACCAGATCCTCAGCTGACCTTGACAGTAAAAAGAAAATTAACTTGGGCCAACTGCATGGTTTTAAACACCCAACAGAAAAGTATAACTAAAGATTAAAGTAATTAATTTGTCCAAGGGATTATACTTCCCAAACATTAGATTTAAGTTCATATAAAGTACTATTACACAATTATTCCTCACTAATGATTTTGTTATTAATAAAATTGTTGTAAAAAAATCAGATAAGACTTACTGGTGAGGTGTGGAAAAAGAGACAGAAGTTAGTGCCCCAGTCTCTACCATCTCAATGGCTTGTTTCATTTCCAGCTTCTTATACAAAGAAACAATGCTTGATTTTGGAAGGTTTCTTCGAATTAGAATTTTCCGTAAGTATCTGTGGTCAAACTTCTTAAACCTAAAAATTAAAAACAACATTTTGTAAACCTTTAATCACTGTTGTGCATTATGGAAGGGTGCATTTTTCTTTAAGCAAACTACAACTTAGCTTTATTCTGAAAAACAGCAAGACTGTGCCCGAAATGCAAAGCATTTGAAGACTCTTTTTTTAATGATAGCATTTATGTATTTTTTTTAAAATGAAGAATGGTTTTGTGGCTTGAATACAGAGAAAATCAACGAAACAAAAAGAAAGGGACAAGCCACAATCAGGGTAAAAAGTGTGCATAAGTGACAAGCCGAGCTGGGGAGGCCTCGCCCTGCTCAGCTCCAATTGTAAGAAAGAAATAAGGTGGTTGCCGCTTTTGTTGAACAAGTGTTCCATTCTAACAGCTCATAACAGCGGCAGCTGCACTTACAGTAATGCTAGCCTATTCAACCAGAACCCAATAAGTTTAAATGGCCTGCTAGTTATAGTAGTTTTGCCCCATTATGTTGCAGATCACTTTGAATCCTGCCAATTAAGGAGGGGAAACTTTGCCTCATGAGTCCCAACAGTCTGAATGGTGGAGACTCTGAATAGGCCATGCTCTGATGGCCACGGACTATTGTAGGGAACCTCTGGTCAACCCATTAGAGTAAGTTGCATACATGCAAGTGGAGCCTTTGGAGCCAGCTGCTTGTTTGGAGTTGGTATTTTCAATGCTTCCAATCATTTCACATTCAAAGAGTAGTTGGACTGCCTGCTTCGTTTTCAGAGGGGAACGTAACTTCCTGGGAAGCTGGCTTATTATCTGGTGTTTGGTTTCCAGGTCCATGATGTAGGTGGACTCCGTCAGTAAAGTCCACTCCAGGTGTGGTATGATCATCTGTTTTGTCATCTGTTTGGCTTAGATTCACCTGTTCTTTCCAACTAGGCTACTCCCTGACCTTCTAGTTGTCTGTCTTTCTTTATGAGAGGCCGTGGCTCCTCCTTATCCCATTATAATCAGTGCCCCCATTTTCATGTGTTTGGTATTTCTCTTGCTGAGTCCAACTTGACCTTATACTAGTCAATTCCAGTGGCTGATATTGCCCTGACCTTATGGCCACTTGCATCTCTTGATGTGCCAGGTTATTCCTCACATACCAGCTCAATCCTGCTTCCTCCCATTCTCCCTGGCCATTTTCTCCTGTCTTCAACTGCTCTTCCATTTCCTCACAAGCTCTTTATGATAGGGAGCTTTCTAGAGTCCTGTGTCCTGACTATGCCTCCTCTTCATATATTTGATATAACCTCACACATGCCCATGACATTAGCAGTCAGACACTCACTGATGACTTATAATCTTTGTCTCCAGTTACAGTCTTTCTCCTTGACATTAAAAGAATCAGTTCAGAAATGTGAGATATGATAGGGAAGAAGGACCTGGGCATTTCAAAAAAATCACTGTGCAAGAAGGACTCTTAAAGGTCCTTCATTGTGGGTGACCCTCACAATGGAGAAAACCCTGCCCCAGAATCTTTGAGTCACCAAACTCCTTTCAGCTTCTTAAAGTTGGGCGTCTATGGTTAAGCCAGTTTTATGGGGGGTCTTGTCTTTCTTTTAAACTCAAGTACGACTTTCTAATTTCCACTCTTCACTTGCGTTAAAGCAACCATTACCACACCTGTATCTTCCTCCCGAAAGCTTTCTTTTTCTATGCTAGGCACACCCAGGATTTCCAATTGCTTTTTGGGGAATATGGCTCCTGATTCCTGTATCTTCCTGACACCCTATTCCACAAATATCTACTATGAGGTAAGGAAACCCTGACCTCCTTACTTGTCTCTCACTTGGTAGTGGCTCCATTGCCCACATACATCTTCAATTCCAGCCTTCAAATGATCCATCAGCTGCCAAAACAAACATAAGAAAATGATTGCCCATGAAATACGGACTCTAAAGGGCATGTGAAAAAAACTAATACAGTTTGGAAACTAGGAAAGGCTTAAATCTACTGACGAATAATACATTTTCTATTACTCTATTCATGTGGCTAAAAAATGCCATGCTTTTCATAGTAATTCAACTTACTTTATTGATTGCAGGATTCCATAAACTTCTTAATAATTTTTTTTTTTGGTCTTTTTGAGACAGGGTCTCCCTGTAGCCCCAGCTGACCTGGAACTCGATATGTAGACCAGGCTGGCCTCGAACTCACAAAGATCCACCTGCTTCTGCCTCCCAAACGCTGGGATTAAAGGCGTGCACCACCACGCCCGGCCAACTTCTTGATAATTTGTATAACATGCAATGAAACAGGGTGCCTGGCGTTTGCTTTGAATATGCTTTTCTAAAAAGATCTAGAAAATTTCTCACTACTGAAATTATGTGGATGATAAGTATAAAAATTAACTATTTTGTTTTGATTGTCAAAAGAAAATCATGTACTCAATTTACACAGTATTCCAAATACAATTCTTCAAATAATCTATTATAATAAAACATAGTAAGCAAACTTGTCTGAATTCTCCTTTTTTAAATACCAGACAGGTAATGCAGAAATGTTATAGTAAGGTTTGGGGGAGACATGAGATTGCATGACTACCCTATCATCATGCCTGTAAACTAAAAGTGGATTGTCTCCATTTTTACATGTGATTATTTGTTCTACACACAACATACAAGTCAATTGTACTACCTTTGTTTAGTTCACAATGATTCATAAAAATTTAGGTAAAAACATAATCGTAAATACTTATAAATAGATCTCTAAATAATTTAAATTAGAAATTATCCAACTTCATTCTTGCTTTTTAATTTTTTAGAAAAAAAGGCTAAAATACTAAATCATCATTTAAACAATTAATTAATCTTCTGTCTCCTAATGATAGTTGCAATTTTTTCAGAAAGAAAAATAAATGAGAAGGGAGTAATACATTGAAGTTCCATACACAAGCACATTGCTCATTTCTCAAAATGAGATAAGGACAGAGAAAAATCTACAGCTGGGTTAAAACATTACACAGTTTTAAACACTCCGTCTCTGTTCTAATCCATTAAATATTTTCAAATAACTTTGAAATATTTTGGCTTAGATTTCCTAGAAATTAACTTACTATATTTCCTCAGGAATCTATAAGTATGAAACTCGGGGCTAATATAGGAATATTTTACCCATTTCTACAGTATTTACGTTGTTTAAGGAAGTATGAATCCTCAGGAGTAGGAATGAAACAGCAATGGTCTGGTTCAATCACCCCACCCCCAAAAGCTTGAATCTCAGGAGCAGCTCTTCCCAGCCGTGGCTCCTACACATCCATTTTGCTGCATACTTTAGGTGTGCTCCTTAAGAAATGATGATCAGATTGTGATTTCATTACTGAACTGAAGTGTGTGTGTGTGTGTGTGTGTGTGTGTGTGTGCGCGCGCGCGCGCGCTCATGCACACATATGTGTGTGCATGTTCCATAAACTAGCACTCATTTCTATTCATAGAAGTCACACAGAGGGTCATGGTTTTGAGGTTTTGTTGAACTAAAACAGACAGACAGGATCTGTGTTCAACTTCATACTCACATTTGCCCGAATGAACTGTTTCCACCAAAAACTACCATCACTCAAAACTGTAGCAGCAATGCGGGTCTCCTTTTCCCATTAGGAATTCAGAAAGTGAGAAGGACCCAATAACTTCAGAAGCAATGGGAAAACTTCAGTCATTAGCCACTGTGACAGTCTGAGGTATCGACTAGGCAAGTCCCCAGTTATTCAATCCAACACTAATTTGTATGTTGCTATGATTTATGATGTTACTTTGCAGATATGAGTAGAGTTTCATGATCAGTTGACTTTAAGTAAGGGAAGTGATCCTAGATAATCAGAGTGGTCTGGTTTTCCAACTGAAAGACCTTCAGAGCAAAGCTTAGGCTTCCCTAGTAAGGAATCCCAGTTGGCCCAAGAACATAGTTCAGTGGTACAGCATTTTCCCAGCATGTGCAGAATGCTAGTTTTCATTCCCAGACACATAAGAATGTAGGAAACCTTTAGAAATCAGAAGAGGCAAAGAGATAGATTCTCCCCTAGAGCCTCCAGACAGGAATGTAATGCTCTAACACTGCTGCTGAGACCCCTTTCAAATGTCTTCCTACAGAACTTTAAAATAACACATTTAAGTTGTCTGAAGCCACTCTGTTCCCTGTAGCAGAAATAGCAAACAAGTATAGAGTGGAGCTGGAAGGAAGGCAGCAACTGCTCCTGACATTTGCAGTCTCCTTGATCCTCCTTGACCCTCGATCACACAGTACATGGAAACATTCATTTGTCTACAGTGAGTTAACTTACGCGAGTGTGAAGCTCCTCATTGATGGATTCTTTCTTATTGGTCTTTCTAACATCCAGGTACCTGACCAGAGGACCAATTGTAATTCCCTGGGTCATAAATAGTAAAATAACGGGTTTTTTACTGAGGTGAAGATTGCTACTATAGAGAACAATTCTACTACCAAAATTTGTTCCTAACTTTATTGGATTAAATATACCAATAAATACTGCAGTAAAATATATTTTTTTATCTATTTTAATACAAATTTGATTTCATCTCTTAAAATAAGCCTTTCTAGACTTAACTAAAGAAAAATCTTGTGTTATCAAGCACTAGTTACTTTGTCATTTTCAAAGATAAACTTGGTGTAACTATCCTATCATTCACCTGTCACCCAGAAATATTTTCATTAATATGTCCTTTTGGCCCAAAGGCAACATATTCGAAGTTAAAGGTTTAACCGTGAACATGGTCTTTATGTATTTTATAATTTCTTTAGAAGATTGAACATAATTCTAAAAATCATATAAAGTGTCTTTATTTGCATTTTACTAATTTAATATGACATTGTGGAAGAATTCACTTATTTTAAATATGAAAGAAATCTACCAACCTGAAAAAATACAGTAAAGTATGTAACTACTAAGGTAGCAGTGACAAACAATTTCTTCCTAGGGAAAAGAGACAGAGGAAGCAGAAATGCTAGTGAAAAACTTCCAGCTCCTCGCACACCACTGTAGAAGATTATGAACTGGTCCTTGATGGAGAAGGGGAAAGTCCGAAACTGGTTACTGACATAGAAGAGAGCAAACACGCCTGGAAAGGGGGAAATACATATTAGAGCAGCAGCACACGGATGGGAGACTCAGAGCTACTGAGCCAAGGTTGTGCAGACTGCCCTTCAAGCAAGGCAGCCTGATTCCATCCCATGCCCAGACACTACCCATCGCCAACAGAGTATCTTTCAGTAATCCTCATTCTTGTGAGGTTTTAGTGCCTCAATCTAGAAGTCTTCTCTAGTAGCTTCTTAGTACAAATGAAGTGTAGTGTGTGAGTGTGTGTGTGTGTGTGTTTAAAGTAATATAAATCTTGAATTTTTATATAAAGTGTGTATCTATAATCCCTACTCATAGTACCTCTGCTTCTTTTCAAAACTGGTTACAGGAAGGATGGGTGTGGGATAAAACCATTCTTATCTCATGTTCTCAATGATACCCCTAAGAGCTCTGTGGTTACAATGTGATGGGGGATCTCTCAGTGACTGCTGCTTTACATTATGTATGGATCCCTTGTGGCTGGTTCAGTTCTTCTTGAGGTTCAGTGCAAAGAATCATGAAAGTCAACAGGGCTCAGGGTCAGGGGATGGGGCACTTCCTATTGCCAGAGAGCATCTAAAGTGGAGGTTGGAGGGCAAGGAAGCTTCTTCAAAATATAGAAGTCTTTCTTATAACACACATTCTCCATGGCCATGTGTTCTACGTGACAGCCACTACCTATGTACTGGTCCTTGGAAAGTCTTCTCTAACTAAAGCTCTAAGTGAGCATTTCAGAAGACTCATCTCTATATGTCCTTCCAGACACACATACTTCACAACAAGCATTGTTTGATAAAAGGCTTATCAAACAATAAACAGTACAAGAGATGACAGAATTTAAATTCTTTTTTCATTTTTTTTTTTGGTTGGTGCTAATTTTTTCCACCTAGACATGGGACCTCGGGCAAAGTTTCTCATCATTCTGTATCATCAGATAGTAGAGATAACAAGAGCACAGTTTGCCCCCAGTTTCTGCAGGGACTGGCCCCCACACTGCCATGTATACCAAGATCCATGAATGCTCCCGTCCCTTATATTAAGTGTAATGCTCATTTATACTCTCTCCACATCTCTAGATTACTGATAATCAATCCTAGTACACTGTCTATGCTAAATAAATAGCTATTATATTGTATTGCTTAAGAAGTGATAACAAGAAAAATTCTGTACATGTTCAATACAGATGCAATTTTCCCCAATATCATTGATCTGTTGGTTGAACTCACAAATGCAGAGCTCATGGACATAGAGACCCAAGTGGACTTAGCTCAGGAGGTAGATGAGAACTTAAATAAACACTTAAATAATCATAAGTAACAGAAAACAGGGCCTCTGGCATTTTAAGCCTTCACAGTCATTAACTGTGATTAGTGATGATGAGTCAAGATGAAGAGAGACCAGGAAGTGATCAGATATCTGGATTCTGACACCTGCTCTGAGAACCACTGTAACCCGTCGGAGTCAGTCACTCTCCAGTGGTAATTCCATCAATTCTCTCAGCTATAGGATTGAGAAGAGGTACTGGATGAGCTCTGTGGAGAAGAGTGCTGAGGGATCCACAATCTCTTTTATTTCCCTGTTGGGCAAATCTAATTGTACTTCTCTTGCCATTAGCTCTACATAACACGCTTAGATGTGTAGAGAATGGAAAGAGATTGCAAAAATTTATCCAAACCTATTATTTGGGGCCTGAGGAAGAAGATTGCAAAAAGTAAAAAAGTCAAAAGTCAAAATAATACCAGACCTTGATCTGAGATTTCAAATTTATATCACAGGGTTCTTAATTGCTTTTCCACCAAGGATAGGCATACATATCCAGCTATTCTTATGAATAACTTAATATTATTCTCGTCACTCTTTTACGCATCCCAAAAGCCATCATGAATTAATTTTAATTAATATTAAAATTCTCATTTCTCTTTTAACAATTGACTGAAAATGATTGATTAAAGTCATTTTAAAAATATAGTTGCTTCCAGGTGTGGTAGTACACCTTTAATCCTAGCACTTGGGAGGAAGAAACAAGATTTCTGTGAGTTCAGGGTTATTCTGTCTATATAGTGAGACCCTGTCCCTAATAACAATAACAACAACAATAATAGCTTCGAATCAAAAGGCAACGTATATATTAGAGATTGATGCTTAATGTTCTTTCTAGCTCTTGAAACAGAAGTGTACAACAGCCATTGCAGCTCATCTTTTTAAAAAATATTTTATTTATTGTTTTTATTTTATGAGTATATTGCCTGGATGTATGGAAGTGCACTCGTGTTGTACAAAGTTTGTGGAGCCAGAAGAGGCCATCAGATCCTCTGGAACTGGAGTTACAGACAGCTATTAGCTGCCATGTGGGTGCTGGAAATCGAACTCAGGTTCTCGGAAGAACAGCAAGTGTTCTTAAACACTGAGCCATTCTCTAGCCCCTGGATCTCACCTTTTTAAATGAAGCATATGTTCCAGGAGTGAGGTCATTTGCATTATGGTTGCGTTTACTAATTGGTGTAGCTAAGAATGAGTTCTATGTGTGTTCATGTATATATGTGGGTGTGAGAGTATACAGAAGCCAGACATCAAGGCCAAGTGTCTTCCTTAATGGCTTCTCCATCTTATTCTTGAGCTAGGTTCTCTCCCTGAATCTGGAATGCACCAATGGCTAGACTAGCTAACCAGCAAGTCCCAAGATCCTCTTGCCTCCAAGTCCTCAGTGCTGGGATTATAGATATTCATAACCTTGCCTGGCTTTTTACATGAATGCAAGGAATCCCAACTCAGGTCCTTGTGCTAATACAGAAAGCACTTTACTACTGATCCACCTCCCCAGACCCCACTAATGAGCACTTTTAAAAATAATGATTCAGTTTTTGGTCCTTTGTTGACTATATATATCACACCTATGCACTCATCTCTTAGACCAGCTGCACTATTTATAGGAATGTTTTCCAACAGTGTTTGTCTTATGTGGAATATAATTTGTGAGATCTCACATCCTATATCAAAAGTGTAAATGCCCACAGTTTATAATCTATATCTGAGTTAAAGTGCAAGAGGTTACAAATCTGTAGAACAACAGATGTATTTACTGAGTTATTTTTAAATGTGTAAATGTGAAAGTTCTCTCTTCATTCAAAAACCAGAATATATCCTGTTCCATCCTGGCTTTTGAGCAGAGCCTTGTTCCATTAACTGCTAATCACTTTGAGCTGACTGAGGTGGTAAATGAAAAGTGTTTCTGGTCACTAACTACAAGGTGCCTGGACTTCCTCTATCCAGTAAAGCCAGTTAGCATCAGCTCCCTCCTTATGATTTCACAGCGCAGAAGAGAAAAAGAGACTGATGAAATGAAGCCAGGCAGGAGAATGTTGGGACCCCTGCGTCTCTTACTAATGGCTCTCCAAATCTGGCAGAAGACCAGAGTGAAGCAGATGAAAGCCCAGTTCCATTCATGGTTCTTCCCAATGGTGGACACGCCCATGAAGATGAAGATCAAGGTCTCGCTGACGCTGCTAAGCATCTTCATAAAGTACTTGATGGTTGTGTAGGATGTCTGAGACACATTTTCTTCCACATACTTTTTCATTGTCACTGCACAGGCTGTGATTCTACAAAAACAGCAGAGGTTCAGAGAGAAACAAATATTCATCACACCACAAAAATGTCCTCTACAATGGCAAGACCATATTTACACAATGTCTATCTCTGTTTAGAGTTAGCATCTCCTCCGGTCCCCTTTTCTATTGTGGATCTTATATTTTCACATAGACAGAGAGAGAGAGAGAGAGAGACAGAGAGAGAGAGAGAGAGAGAGAGAGCAGGCCAGTTATTCAGGCAAGCTAGAAGCAAAATGCATCTGAACCCTCCCTCCTTTGTGGAGAGCTTTGTCAGCACCAACTCTTGCTAGAAGCTATCCACTCTGCCTTAAATCAAAATAAAGCTTCAACTGGATAGACAGAATAATCTAGCCATGTCCTCTTTTTCTCTAACCAAACAATATTTCTTTTTATTTTTTCATTCTTTTCTTTTCAAATGTTTAAATTCTCTTTCCTGCCCCAGTCTCTTGAGTGTTGGTACTATATACATACCTCACCCAGCATCCAAATAGTATTTCTTACAACTTTGTGACTGATATTTCAAATATTTCTTTCTCTAGGCATTTAACAAGTATGGGAGAAAAGAAATAACTTTGTCTTTTTAAAAACTATTTTATTATTTTTATTTTATGTGTATGAGTGTATTGCCTGCATGTATGTGAGTGCACCTGTGTCATGCAATGCTGCGGAGGTCAGAAGAAGGTGTAGGATTCCCCTGGAACTGGAGTTAAGTATGGTTCATAGCCACAATGTGGGTGCTGGGAGTCGAAGCTGGGTCCTCTGCAAGAGCAATCAGTGTTCTTAACCACTGAGCCATCTCTCCAGCCTCAAGAAATAACTTTGTCTTGTCTTAGCAGCTATGTTTTTGTTGTTGCTATTGCTTGTTTTGTTATGTTTTGTTTGCGACTAGGTCTCACTGTGTAGCCCTGGTTGTCCTACACTATACAGCCTAGACTGGCCTCGAATTCACAGAGATCCACCTGGCTCTGCCTCTGTGGTTACTTTTAAGGTAAGAAAATAATGATGCCTTGAGTCTATTATATTTAACTGACATAGAGATTCTTATAGAATAAAATTATATATTTCTGCCTGAATAGTTGGATATAAGGACAATGTCTTGTGAAAATTTGGTTGGATCTAATAAGTCAAACTGAGAGGTGTCATCCCAAGAAATGCATTTCAAGGTTATGAGGATACAAGGATAAACATCTAAACCAATATCTTCACGAGAACAAAGAACATGACTTCAGTTCTTACGTCTACCTACATTCATCCTGTACTGAAGAGTGAGGGAGTAGACTGTTTGTTTGTTTGTTTGCTTGCTTGCTTGCTTGCTTGTTTGTTTTTGAGACAGGGTCTCCCTCCCGGTAGTCTCAGCTGGCCTGAAACTCACTATGTAGACCTGGCTGGCCTTGATCTCACAGGGATCCACCTGCCTCTGCCTCCCGAGTGTTGGGATTAAAGGCATGGGCCATCATGTCTGGCTAAGAGGAGGAAGGTGAGACATAGTTGGAGAAGAGCAGCTGTAGTCAAAGACCAGAAATGGGAATTCCTTGCGACATGCCTCCTTTCTACTTAAAGCATTCATTTTTCAAAGAAGAAAAGGAATTGCTCAGATGAACTGTAAGCTGTTCCCAGCTCTTCTGTGCACCAGCTTTCCTGAGCATTCTGAATTAACATTCTAATTGCTAGGCGTTCCTCAGACAAATGTTGGAGAGAACATTTGTTTGGCAAAGGACCTGAATCTGTTTTCACAAAAGTTAAAAAGTCCTAAATCCTGCAGCGCCTTTGGGGATTAGCATCAGGCCTTTCTCAGACGCCCTGGTCAGTTAGCTCTTAAATTTTCATGCGTTCCCTCACCACCTCATCCTTGGGTTGTACTCACGCCAGGATGCCTGAGAGGTAGAGCGTTTCAGCTGCTAAGTAAGACAGATAGCTGAACATGAAGACGATGAGAGGCTCAATTGCAGAGATATTCTGAGTGAAACGTGTGATAAATGCAGAAATAAATCCAAAAATGATGCCAAAAAACACTCCCCCACACCCCACGATGATGAATCGAGCACAACCAGCCAAAATGTCAACAGGTTCTATGTCTTCGAATTTATGCATCTTAGTGAAGGCAATTAATATATTGTATAAGACCTAGAAAAAATAAGAAAGAAACATGAATTAGAAGTTAGAAATATGTCACACTTTGTGTTTTGTTAAATAGTATGAAATAATAATTTGCACATATATAAAAATGGCTACCTAATTTTTAAATGTATTTCCAACAAGTTTGGATCTAACCAGATTCACTGAATTGAAAGTGAAATATTTGTCTTTCAATAACTCAGTGATGACAAACATTTTATTGCTTGTTATATTGAATCATTACTTGTAGCCCATGAATATATACAGTTATTATACCAATGGAAAGTACTAATAAAAATGACCTCACTGTGCACCAGTCTCCTTGTTAAGCTTCCTGTGTTGGTTTACTTGCTGTCTCTAAGCTTTGGATTCACCTTTCCTAACATGCTATCTAATAAATACGTAAACTCTTTCCAGCTTTCTCCTTTAAAGTGAGCATCAGTTAAGCACCCTTAATGGAGAGTGTAAAAGGAACATTGCAAGAGGAAGGTGTTTCCTGAAATTTCCTTGGGACTTTCAGGGAAGAGTCAGCCATGTGGATCTGAGGACTTCAAGTGGAACTTGCCTGAGCCATAGGACCTGGAAGTCACTCCTTAGCAGACTTGCTTCAGCCTTGTGGTAAGCTGCCTGCAAAGGACCTACCGTGACTCAAGCAGCACATTCTCTGCTAGCCCTAGCCCAACTACCTGCCCTGTATCTAGCCTTCTCCTCTGAAGGCCCTCTTCCCACTCTGGACCCCAAAACCTCACAGTACAAGGTTTCCTAAAGTCTGGCCATGCCTGCTTTCCAAAGAATGGTCTTACCCAGACCTGCCAGGTCAGTTCTAGCTTGACTGACAGAACCAGGTTCTCTACTGTCCAATGGCCAATCCATGTCTTCCCTGGTTAGATCTGAACCCATGTAGTATTTTGTATACTGCCAGGCTTCTCAAGGCCTGAGCTTCCTGCTTCCTGTTTCCTGCTCCATTCCCACTCTTCCTTATAGGGACACTCAGGGTCACCTCTATATTTTTTTGCTTTCTGATGTTGGAGACTGCACCTGGGACCTCACACATGCTAGGTGTGTCCTCTACCACTGAGCAGTTATCTCCAGTCTATTTATTTCATTTTGAGATAGGATCTTGGTAAGTTACTCAGGATGGCCTTGGAATCGTTCTATAGCCAAAACTGACTACTGTGATGGTTAATCTTGGTCATCAACCTAGTGAGATTAAGAATCACCACGGAAACAAACATCTGGGTATGTCTGTAAGGGTGTTTCTAGAGTAGGTTGAGATGAGAAGAGTCACCCTAAATTTAGGCAACACTGTTTTATAGGTTGGAGCGCAGGACTGCATGTAAATGAGAAAAGGAGCTGGGCTCCAGCATTCATCCTCTCTGCCTCCTTGCTAATGATGAATGTGACCAACTGACTCAAACACCCACCACTATGACTTCCTCCCAGTGATGGACAGTGTCCCCTCCAACTGTAAGTCGATAAGCCCTTCCTCCCTTCTGTTGCTTCCTATCAGGTATTTGAACAAAGAAAAATAACTAATTAATAGGCCTTAGATTGTATCCTCCTGCCTCAGCTTCCCGAGCAGCTGGGAATACAAGTCTACAGCCCCAGCCCCAACTCCCTCTGTTCTTCACTGTAGCCTAGCAACATTTGAGTTCTGATTTTGGCTTCACTTGCAGGGCTTGCCAGAGATGTGTGTTTCTTGTATAAATGTGAACCTCTTGGCCATGCTTAGAAGCCTGCAACCAGCTACAGCCATTCCTCCCAAGCCTATTTCCCTGTCCTGACCCCTTAGGGTCTGTTAAGTGCATTACGTCTCTGGGCTCCCTGTCACATCACTTTTATGATAAAAGATTGTTAATTTTCCACATAGAAAGCTTAGCAATTAATGATCATTTATCATTGATCTTTTTTAAAGATTTAGTTTCTTTTTAATTATGTGTCTCTGTGGGGTGGGAATAGGTACATGTAAGCACAGGCCCCATTGAGTCCAGAAGAAGTTGTCAGATTCCCTGGAAATAGAGTTATAGGCAGTTGTGAGCCATCTGACATGGATGTTGGAAACTGAACTCAGGTCCTCTGCAAGGGCAGTACACATTCTTAACTATTGAGCCATCTCTCCAGCCCAGATTGAACATTTTTTGATGAATCATATCAAGGTCGTCTCTAGACTGGTATCTTATTATATATGTAATCACAAGTAACAAAAGTGCATTGAAAAAAATTCACATGCTATCTCCCATTCCCCTCTAAAGTATTCTATGGGGTTGATGTCCTTGCATCTGAGGAACTGTAGTCACCATGTACTTTGTTTACTTGTTTGTACATGTTACTCATTGATTTATTATTTCTGCCTACATTTGTATAGAGATAAAAATCTTATAGCACGGCTCTTTGGTTTGGAATGCGGGTTGGCAGAGCAGGTCATTCCTCAAAGCAGCTCAAGTGTCACCAATACACCCACCGACAGTAGATTACTGATGGGAGGAACACAGGAAAAAGCCCAGGACACGTTTGAGCAGGTGTGTCAGTAACCCACTTTGAAAAACATTTTATGGTCTTTTTATTTTTTATGTGTTTGAGTGTACTGCTTGCATGTTAAGTGCACCCATGTTGTGACTTGAAGTCAGAAGAGCGTATTAGAGCCCCTGGAATTGTAGTTAAGGATGGTTTTTAGCCACCAAATGGGTTCTGGAATTTGAACCTGGGTCCTCTGCAAGAGCAGCCAGAGCTCTTAACCGCCGAGCTTGCCCTAGTAGCCTATTTTTAATGTCATGAACCATGTAGCCAAAACTTTGGTCAGATATGGGAATGTGGGCAGGCAGTACAAAGGCTTTCTTCCTCCCCCAGCCCCCCCAAAAGAAAGTTTCTAGCCCATTATCTGGGAAAAGAAGAAACTGATGATGATGAAGAAGGATCATTTTGGTGTAAATTTGCTGGAGCTCAGACACATACACACACACATACACACACACACACACACACTCGCACACACGCACACACTATGAATAGTGAATTTCTGAAAGGAGAAAAAGAATTACTTTAAAATGGACAATTTAAAGAACTCTTAAACCAGATTTTCTTCAAATATATAAAATACAGAAATCCTAAGAAACAAAAGTGCAACAGCTGACCTTCCTACAGGCCCCACAATCTTCCCACAGAAACTATTACAGACATTATAAGTATGTCTGTCTTAATCCTGCCTGACACTGATCACCCATTTCTACATCTGTAGCTGTCAGAGGCCTTCAGGTCTCTGGTTTCAGGGGATAAAACTCATAAGCCACATGTATTTTAATTTCCCTCTGCTTTCTGAGGTGAGGATTGGGGTGGCAGATGCATTGTAGGAGGCCCCTTCCTGGAAAGCAAAGACTCCTCTGATTGGTGTCCTTAGCCTGAGGGCTCCCCATGGGCTAGGTAAACTCTGAAAAAGGCAACAACACTGTCACATCCAGTTTCCCTCCTTCTCTCTCTGTTTCCCCCTAGGTCATTCTGCATCAGAGGGCATCTGAGGGCTGTCCCAACTCCCTGGCTTTACTTCATGGGAATCTCACTAATAAACTCGCTGCATATCCAACCCTCTGGCTGTTTGATCTTTGGATGAGCTAGATAATAACTATCTATGTGTTTATGCATCAGTCATATTTTATAAAGTTACCCTATATGGTTTAAACAAATACTGCCCTATTTTAGTTAAGCAAATTTAAGCATGTTTTGGGAAGAGTTTTGCTAAGCATTTGAAATTTGTGATTTCACAAAAAATCTAAAAGAAACACCTGTGGTTATATTCTAACTTAGTGGATTCCTTTAGTCCAGTATCACTTTCTGCCTAACCACAGAGCAATCCACAAATGGGTCTTAGGAGCTCTGGATATCACACCTTAGGGCTGAATTCAGAAGGGAGTAAAGATGGATCAGGTGGCTCCACAATTTCAGGAGCCCTCGGTTTGAATAAGGGAGAGTAGGAATTCATTTGACTCTCAAATCCAGAGAAAACCCAGGGAACATGATTGTAACTCATAGATTTGTATATTGTTGCCACAATTGAAAACTCTTTTGCATAGCTTTCTAGATTTAAGCAGCTATGGAAATTTAGGCCTCCTTTGGCCCTGGACTCCACAGCATCCTGAAAGAAAATGTCATGGCATTTTTCAGAAGCTAAGTGGTCTGTATAACTAAGAGACTACTTTTACACATAATCCATACAGCTCCATAAAATAAAAAAAAATAAAAAAATAAACTTTTACTTTGCCAAGCATGGCATGGTGGTGCATGCTTTTAATCCCAGCACTTGGGAAGCAGAGACAGGCAGATATCTGTGAGATGGGAAGCCGGCCTAGTCTCCATAGCTAGCTGGGATTTTGGGGAGACCCTGTTTCAAAAAACTCAAACCAAACCAAACCAAAACAGAACATTTACCTTTCAGACTAGTAGGTGCTGGATGTCACTGTAGGGGCAAAGCATTTTCTTTGGGTTTATTTCAATAAGTGTTCATTTTCCACATGTGAAAGGGGAAAACTCCACTAATGTTAAACTTCAGGAAAGTCCCTGACACACAGGGAACAAGGTCCTGTCTCATTTTGGGTAGTGGACCTTTTGAGTTACCTTTGACAAATCCGTCTAGCGTCCCATGATTATAACAGGATCAGTCCTTTAACTGAAGCCCCTGTGAACATTGTAAAAGTCACGCAACTCAGAAAACCCTCTCATGATAATAAAAAACACCAACTGACTCACCCAGGCTCAGCAAGAGGTGAAGAGTCAAATGTAACAATTTTATTAAATCCTAACCACTTTGTTGAAAAATAAGTGACATATGACAAACTCCAGGTGAAATTATTGAATTCTGGCTATGCTACACACCCACAAAACCACTGATTTGGTGACTACATAGGGACCAGAGACTGAACTATGAGCACAAATAAATCTTCCCTCCTGAGGAGCTGATCATCGCAGCATTATGTCTAAGACATGGAAGACTGAACACTATACTGTGACCTTGCTATGTT